GGTTATATATTGAGAGGTTCAGATTAGTTGATGTACACAAAGGATTTAGATGGCAATAAGAACTATCCAAGGAAGCTATATTATAATTAGCATACATAAAGCATTTCCCATACCCTATCCAGGCAGACAGAACTAATTAACTCCAGCATTGTTTTTCTTTTCTTTTTTTTTTAAAGATTTATTTGTTTATGCAAGCACTGGGTACAGTCAGAAGCGCGGGAGGGTGAGAGGATTCACCAGAGCCAGAGCGGTGGGCAGCGGGCAGCAGGAGAGGTCTGCGTGCCATGGGGGACCCACGCCAGGCAGCCGGGGATCAAATTGGTGCTTCAGAGGCTGCGGACAGCTTGCAACCCAGCGCTCAACCGCTGCGCCACTGGGGAGGACCCTACAGCATTGTTTTTCATTGCGCCTGTTTGAGGTTTCTGTGTCCTTCACAATAAAGCCACTCCATGTAGTTGTTAATTGATTAGTCACCAAATGAAAACTCTTTTCACATCATAGATCATCAACTGGAATATCTGGATATAAGCAGTGGAGAAAGACAGTTCACCCATACCAGGGTTTTATACCAGGCATTCCACAAGAGTAAAATGTGTCTTGATTAGAGGCAAATGATGCCAGATAAGGGAGGTTTGGCACTCAGGCCATATAGCCTGTTGCTTGGACACAAATATTTCCAGCTGCCCCCAATGCCTGTTCACATCTTGGGACAAGCAGCCATAAAAATGTCCTTTTGCCTGTCCTCATTCTTCATTTGCTATAGAACAAGAAAGGCTGATAAGCCACAGACCACAGAGAAAAAGGTCAGTCTGATAAAACACACTATGGTCCTGCTGATGTGCTTAAAAAAGCACGCACACTTCAAAGCCAATCATGGACGGAGACACATAGGCGAGCCACTCAAAAACATCTTTCAACTAGGAGTATTAAGCCTGAGGACCCAGCCCTTGTGAGGTTGAACCCCTCACAGAACAGAAGAACCAACATCCTAAAAGCTACATTTAACTAAGTGGAATCCACAGTGAAGGGACATATGGGTAAAACTTGTTAATTGATAACCAACAATAACAAATGTTCCAGCAAAGGAAAGGTGGTATTTTCACCTACTCACTCACTGATTGAAAGTTCTTGATTTGCCCTCTCTACACTTCAGACCCAGTGCCCTCTGCAAAGTCAGAAATCAACAGATAAGTGCACCTTTATTTTGTTTCAGTCACCATTCATTCTTACCACCATTTCATGAAATTGGTAATAAGGAACAAAGTGATTTGTTTTATCTTTTCTTGTATTTTTGAAGGTAACATAAAATGGCTACAGATCATCCAGAGTCCAGAAGAGGACAATAAAGGGCTGGGTCATATACCTACTAGATGGATGAACTACTATCTACAATTCCAGTATTCAGAGGTGAAACAGGCTAGAGAACTTGCCTCTCAACTCCACTGCTTAGAGCCAGGAAAGCTAATAAGGCAAAAGGGAGCCAGTCAGAAGCAAAATATTTTTCACCTGGAGATAACCACCTCCCTGTATTATCGCTTTAATAAATGTTGATTGAAATAAAATTGGTTTATAACATTATATAACCTGCAGGTGCACAGCACTATAATTAGATATACTGATCACCACCAAAAGTCTAGTTTCCATCACCACCATACAATTCACCCCACTTCCAACTCCTTCCCCTCTGGTAACCACGATCCATTCTCTGTATTCAAGAGTTTGTTTTATTTTGTTCATATGGTTTGTTTCTTTATATTCCATGTGAGTGAAATTATATGGTATTTGTTTTTCTGTTTATTTCACTTAGCATAATACACTCATGTTCTATCCATGTTGTCTCAATTGGCAAGAGTTCATTTTTTTTTACAACTGAGAAGTACATATATATATATATATATATATATATACATATATATATATACACACACACATATATATGCCACATCTTTATCCATTCAGCTATTGAGGGGCATCTAGGTAAGGTGATATGTATAAAACATCCACTCTGTCTTTCCTAGATGCATTTCCTTCCAGATGGCTGTCCCTTACTCCTGACGGAAAATTGTTATTATTCATTGAAAAAGTATTAATTAACCAATCACAAAGCACTTGCTAGAAGTGTCAGGAGCGTCTGAGATGGAGAACCAGTATGCCTCCTAAACCTTAAAACATGGTAACCATTTAAAGGAACCAGGTTCTTCCTTAGGATAACGTCAAGTGACTTGTCTGAGTTTCCTGAAAACTTCTAAAGCATCTTGGCTCCATAAAAAATAAGCTATGTAAAATAAAAATTTACTTTCAAAATTCTCCATTTTATCATTTGTAAATAAAGGTTTTTTACACAGAATTTCCTACATTAATCTCAATACAGTCATGTTCATATTCTACATATTGGGAAAATCTTCCATTTTGTTGTCATAATTCATTGATCTGTCTCTATTAATTATTTGAGTTTAGTCATTAAAGTGCTGAATTTTTCAAATGGTTTATATTTTTAATTTTGTTATATTTCTGGGTTATTTGTTATGATGTCACACTCTCACTCCTGTCTGGTATTTTTTTAATATTTTATTTTACATAATTCTTATGTAAATGATGATGCAAACTGGATCATGATGATGCAAACTGGATCAAAGAAATGCTATGTTTTGGGACTGGTGTTGGACTTCTTACCTGATTGTAAGATAATTTATGGTGTTATGGACCAATATGTCTGGCAATTTGTTACAGAAACAATGGGGAAGTAATATAGTATATAAAGGTAGAAATTCAAGTATAAGGGTACAATAATTTAAATCCCAAAGTATGAGCAATATGAACATTTTTAAATATTAAATTCTTTGAAATAAATTTCATTCTTAGGTTAAAAAAAAAAGAAAATAAGCTATGGTGGATGAGTAAGTTCTGCATGAACATGATGGGGGAGAAACCAGCACAGGAAGACCAGGTGTTTGTCATCACTGAGACATCAGAGACACTCAGATCTGGGGTCAAATTCTGGTTCCCTGTGTTACAAAGTCTTATTGTCTTATAACCTCTCAAGGAGTTTAACCTCAGAGTTTCTGGATAATTATTCTAACAAGTACCTGCTGACCAGTGAAGCCAGTGAATTCAGCACATATAGATTTTGTTAATGATTTCGAGTCTAGGTATAATCTGGGTGTGGAGAGATAAGAACAGGCAGAATAGAGAGTAAGGCAGTAATTAGTATGGAGTGCTATGGGAATACAGCGGTAACTTCAATGGATATTATTTTCCCAGTGTTGAAAGGTAAGAGTTTGTGGGAGAGAACAGACAAGAAGTGAGAATGGAATCAGAATAACATAGGACATATTCAAGGACCTATGATAATGGAAGAGAAACCCAGAAGATAGGCTGGAACCTTAAATTCCTGGCTTAAAGTGGACATTTCTCTGTATCAAGAGCACATCTTACAGACTTGGGTCATTGGTAGACTAAAGTCAATTTCATAGCAAACTAGCACAATAGTGTTTGCATAGATAAAAAAGACAATAGAAACCTGTTTTTTTCTGCATAATTCTAAATGGAGTAACAGTGAGTTATGCTGTGGCAGGAGCATCTACTTCCTTCCTAATAAGCATAATTAGCCATGACAAGTTTGCATTTTGAGCACCATTTATGCATTAGGCATGTGAACAGGTAGTCTTGGCAGCTTCATATGAATCTATCGAGGTAGATACTAAGATTAAGGAAATTCAGATTTAAAGAGTTAATTTGCCCAAAAGCACACAGCAGGATGTGAAGACAGTGCTGGCACTGATTTAAGTCCCGTTTGAGTCTGGACACAAAGCCCAACACAACTTTGCTATTACAAGCTGGGCTAGTGAGAAAAATATTCTTGGAAACTTTAAGCGAGACAATGTTTAAGGAATCATGACCTTTCTCATCATTATTATAATGAAATGTCCTTCAAGATCTGTTGTAAAAATACGGGGGCCTTGAATTGCTTCTAACTCAAGATTTCACACACATGAAAAAGGCTGACATTACAAATGTTCAGAAAGAAAGGACTTCTTTGTTTTGTGGTCAATTAGCATTCATTCCTGTCTGTAATAAATTCATGGAAATCACCTGACTAAAATGTGGGTCTGTTTTTCACTAACTAGTGATGTATTCCTGACCACACAATTTCCTCCTGATTTTAAAGGATTTCTTTTGACTACAGGTCACTTTTGCCCCTTTCTTTTCCTAGAAGCCATGTCGATAAAGGAAACCAAAACTGACAGTGCTGGGTGCCTAACACATTCTTAGATCACATGGCTTTGGGTGGTTCTTTGCTTCAAGCTGGAAGATCTCGGGCTCTGTGGAGGTTCTGGTCTGGATGATACCACCTGACAATAGAGGATGCATTAGCCACACACAGCACTGAATGAACCAGCACAAGTCACCTCCTTCCAAGACAGGTATAGAACTGAAATCAGTTCCAGAAGCAAGTGGGGCAGGATTGAAGGGTGGAGCATAAACACCTCCCAGTGAAATAGCCTCTCTTCAAAATCCAAGTCAAAGAGAATACAAAGTGCTTTCTTGGGATGCCTCATGTCAACCTTGTGATTTACTTAAATGCACATTTTAATTTTCAGACATTCATCAAGTGGACACATGCCAGTTATACTTGATTGAACTACACGAAATTGCTATTTGACCATTATTTTGCCCACAAAAGTGGTCATTTCAGATGAATCAACCTACCCATCTCCATAACAGTGTGTAGAATTCTCAATGTTATCTATATAAGTAAAGTTTCCTGTATTTAGTTTCCAATTAAAATGGAAAACATAGGTTGTAAGAATAAAATCAGAAAATACAGAATATATTATAATCTTAACAAATGGCTATTGAATGTTCAAGTATATTAGCATGTAACTGTTTTGCATGTCTCATGCACCCAGGCACATGACTTTCTAATGTCACTTTAACACTCCAAAGTTAATTTCATTAAGTATGAAATAATCAAAAATCCATTTGATTTATATATTTACATTTTTATTAGAATTCTTCAGAACTGTCAACAATTGAGCAACATATCAGGGAAAAAAAAAAACACACATGGAACACAAACATCCTTTAAACTTGCACAGCTTACATATTTACACATAAAGTTACTGTATATATAAAAAATATTTTCAAGGACTCGTGGGCTTGGGAATATTCAAAAGACATTATTGCTACATTTCAATATTTACAAAAAAAAAAGCCACAAAATAATTTCAAACATTAAGCCACAGCAAAGGAACACCTGATGTAAAAAAAATTATAAAAATATAAACTTTCAAGAATATCCAAGACAAAACTCTAGAAGTGCCCCTGAAGTACCTAGACATCTACAAGTAACAACCACTTTTTTTTTTTACTCTAATCAAATAGAAAAGCAAAGGAAGTTTTCGAAGTATGGCAAACAATGACAATCTCTTATGTGACAACGAAACACCAAAACCTGTTACCTTTGGAAGGTGCGAGAGCATAGAACTCCAGTGCAAATGGTTACTTTCGGATGAATGGCCACAGTTCTCTAAATGCAGTCTAAGGGACCTTGGAGGGGAAAACCGTGAAGGCGACATACCTGAATCTTGCAAGACAACATACCAACTCTGCCATGTACACATGGTCCCCTTATTATTGGGCAGTGATGAGGACAAGAAAAAAAAAAAGGAAAAAGAAAAATAGTAAACTCCAAGAATAATATCCAGGCTACAGCCTAAAGGGTAAAATTTAAATAACTTTCCATGGGAGAGTAGCATTAATAAAGCCTAAGGAACTGGTACAGTATGTTGAGTATAAATAACTGAGCGCTGTAGGTGCAGGCGGATTGCAAATAAATAGGTACTTATGCACTTTGCCTCTCACATGCCTCTATGTAAGCTTTTGGTTTGCTTCTCTAGACAGCTAGGTAAAGAGAAACAAGAGCAGTACTGGTGATGAAAGCCAAGCTTCTTGGGTACTAAAGGATTTCTTGGGCTTAGGGCAAGAATAACCCCCCAAACCTTTGTCTACAAGCATACACACACGTGCACACATACACACCTACATAGATACTGGCCCGGTGTCCAGGACACGCCTGCAGAGGAGGCTGAATCTAAATCTTATTTCCTGCTACAGAAGAATTCCAACTAAGACAGCACGTTTCTCACTCCTGCTGGAGTCATGCAGTAAATCAGTAACTTTTCAAATGGCATCAAACCCATGGAGCACAATGCCATTGGAAGCTGGTAGGCTTGTTCTGGATAATCTACAGAGCGAGTTCATTGGCTACAAAAGGAGATATTGTGCTTGGAGGTTTTTTCTTTTAAAAAAAAAAATTAACTGTTTCCTTCAAACTTATCTGGCTCTTATCTATTTCTACACACAGCAGACTTAAGCCACGGTAGTATCCAGAAACCACTCCTTGTGAGATCGCCCCCCTCAAATACATGAACACATACAATGTATAGATGAGTATATACAAATGCTCCCTGGGGGGACCTTCTCTCCAATTCAGCTCCCTAACAGCAAATTAATGAGAAACCAGGTTAGTAGTACAAAGGCTCATGCATAGCAGCAAGTCTTCATGCTGGAGGAGCAATTTCTCATGACCTATGTCTTGTTCCCAGCATGAAATACTAAATTTCTGAAGCCCAGATAGTCATAGACTTCTGTCCATTGTTCTAACAATGTTCTATTTTCTACCTCATGGATGTTTGCTAAAGCCGAAGGTGACTACTGTCATGTATTCAAACTATCAACCACACTCTTTGAGCAGAAACTGGAGAAGACTTGGAAAGGATTCAGAGTGTCTAGCCCCTGCTTCTCCAAGTTAGGTTTTTTTCATTAAAGGTAGCCCCCTTTACTATTGGGAATATATGCATTTCGGACCTTTGCAATGGGGTGGCGCCAGATGACAAAAGTCATTGCTCACTATAGTGTGCTCATAGGACAGGATTACAGGGGGCGTCCACTACCCTGGAGTAGGATGCAAGTCGAAGGAAAACAATAACCATCATAGAAAATGAAAGAGTGGGGATCATTCTTGATGGGAGACCCCCCAGACACTCGCTCCACTTCAGACATCTTCGTGCACGAGCAGAGGCTGGGTGGAAGATGCGCTGCTGCCCACAGAATTGATCCGCACGGAGTGGTCCACCACGGGGTGCTCTGGCTTGGGGCTGCAGTTCAGTAAGTTGGAGTAAGCCTGAGGAAAACAAGTTCATGGTCAATACACCAGTCTCTACAGCAAATGGGGTAGCAAAGAACCCATTTACAGCTTCAGAATTGCAAATGACGGATGAGGACTCTTAAACAGGAGAGGTTTACAAGAACTTTGCAATCCCTAACCAAGTCATCTTGACAAAAGAATGTACAAATTTTGTTTTACCACTTGCTCCCCCTAGGGCCTGATTACCTAAGAAGTGACAGCAAATTAAAAATGTATTTTGCTGATGGAACCTATCTGGCAACAAATACTATCAAGCCTATTTTAAAGGCTTATAAGTCTCTCTAGCAACTAAAACCCAACCACTGATGCAATTTGTTTAGAAATTCTGGCTCTTCCAGGGTCTTCAGCTGAGAATCAAGCACCTGATGGAAAATGCTGCTCAATTTGAAATACGTGTTGACACCCAAAAGAGCAAGTTTTAACCCCAAGGTATCAGTAGTTTACTCTTGGAAAAGAAAGGATTATTCTAAGTATACAATCCAGGGTGGTGGGGATGGGGGTGGGGGAGCCTAGCAGTTAAAAAAAGTCTGAACCAAAGCAAGGATCACTAATTCTCCCTTAAAAGCAGGAAAGGAAATAATGGATATGAGTTTTGACTCCCCCGTCCCAATTCACAGGGAAGGAGCTCCCAACTTCAAACAACTTTTCATTCCACATGGCTGTGGGCATGACAGCTCTCTGCCATTTTCTGGCTATGCTTGTTTGAGCAGAAGGCTTATTTCACTGCAGTAACAAGCTGTCTTTTCTATGCTTTTACTCTAGTTCACCTCACCCCAACCCTCCCAAAGCTGAATGGCCTGACATGTACAAAGGAATATGACCAGCATTTGGGGTGGGAGAGGAAGCAGAGAAAATCCTTGTGGAAACTTATATTTCCACACTTCTGCGTGCAAGCCCTCATGCCACATCCTTCTTTGATTCAGAACAGGGGATTGGGTAGGAAGAAGAGGGAGAGGGTGGGTTGCGTAATCCTCGCTGTCAGGGTCTGAGAGTAAGAACACACCTGGAAACAAGAGAAGGGACAGGCTAAGTGTACTCACATGGTTAGTGCTGTCTGAAATCTGCTTCTCAATGAGCTGAACGATCTGCTTGAATGTTGGCCTCTTTAGGGGATCAGCATCCCAGCAAGTCTTCATTATGTCATACCTAGAAAACAAGCATTGTTTACTGCAACTCCTCGCTGCCTTTGACCTGTCCTCAGGTACAATGATTTCAAAGGCAATTCATGCTTTTTTCCCCATGGCAACTGAACATCTGAATAATGGGTGCACACAATTAAACACCGCTCTTACGAAATATTCTGTATTTCATGAAAATAAGCTACATAAATGACCAGGGTGTCATAAAAAGGAACCAAGTGACATTTCAAATGGTGCCAACAAAAACCCTCAACATCTGGGTTTCTATCTTTAAACTGAAAAATAAAAGGGGAAACATCCTGTGAAGGAAAATGGCTTGGCCCTTACATTTCAGCAGGTGCATGCTCAGGGCTCAGCATCCGGAAACCTTCCTTGATCATCTTATAGAACTTAGAATCGACTGGCATTCCAGGGTAGGGGCTGCTTCCTGAGGCACAAACAGTTTGCAAATCAGTGTTCATCATAAGCAAGCAGGGCATTGGCAAAACCTTTTAAGAAGATGCTGAATCTAGTCAAGGTGCCCTTTGCAAGGATCTTCTTACCTAAAGAGAACAGCTCCCACAGAAAAATCCCGTAGGACCAGACATCACTTTCAAATGTGTACACACAGTTAAAAATGCTTTCTGGTGCCATCCACTTCACAGGTAGCCGAGCCTACAGAGAAAGCAGACAGAGCCAGCTTAATAATTAAGAAGTTCAAAAAAGAAAAAGAAAAAAAACCCAGAACAGAACAAAAAATATTCCTACAGATGTTGTTGCTCTGGCTGGAGGTGGGAGTGAGAACTTAACTGCTATCTGAAAAACTAAAAATACCTTTTACCTATAGGACCTCAGGTGCCCCCACTGCCTCTGCCACATGGCTCACAAGTATACTGCTCCATGTTAAAGATGGGGACAGCGAGTCAGGACAGCATGGAGGTTCAGAGCACAGACATCACAGACAGACATGGGCTCTCATTCTGGCTCCACCATTGGTCTTTTTTGAGTAACAAAGAAATCTGTTCATTACCCCTGAATACATTTTCTCCATTCCACTAAATAACAGAAACACGGCCTTCCACAATAAGATGACATTCACTACTCCAGTGCAGCCAGCCACGTGACTCGGTTTTGGTCATTAAGTGCTACAGGGCAACTTTAGGAAAAGCTCCTGCAAACATAGCTGGCATGTGCCCTTAGCCTCCTTCCTTCTCGCCCTTTCTTCCCTCCTGCCTTCTGGATATGCCGGCACTCTATAGAGTGTCTCAGATCATGAAGATGAGGGATGGTAAAAAAGAGCCAGGCAGAAAGATTTGGGCCCTAAGTACTTCATGGGACTTCTGGGCTGGCCTGGACCGCTACTCCCATACTTTTTACTTTTCTTCTGGGCTTTCTGTTATATGTAACCCAAACAATCCCTTCCAGTGCAATATGAATAACATCCCTTACTAATGGCATTACTGTAATTAAACCTTGGGTTTCTGTTCGATAACACAAAGATAATAATTCAAGTCTCATGAGTTATTTGTGGGTTAAGTGAGATAATGTGGGTAGAAAGTGTCTAATGCAGACTGCCTGATTAATACCTGAAAAATTGCACTCAAACAGTCTAGTGACTTGTGATGATTACGACTATTCCAAGGTGCTGAGTGGCAGATTGGGGGCTGAAATTTAACAGCTGTACTTGTCATGCTGAATTCTTGTTGTTACAGTTGAACCAAACTTTCTGTGACTGTTCCTCCTAGAGACATTCTGGATTTCTGCTTCTTAATCTACCTTAAAAAGCTAAATCAATCCTTTCCTAATCCATTTAGGATTGAAAACTGGGAAGACAATTTTTCTTGTCTCAAAGTTATTTCAGTCAGTAGGAAAAAAAGCCTTCCAATATCTTTTCCCAGATTCTGTGCTAAAGATCCTTCCTATAAAGGTTTTCAATCTGAGATGTATGGGTGTGCTGAAATTCAAGGACCTGTGAACTTAGGAGGAAAAAATAAATTATTGCTTTTGCTAACTTTCAAGTGAAATTGAGCATTTCCTTAATCCAGGAATGAAGGTGACAAGAGCTCAGGAACAGTAACTTGAGGTTGTCATCAACAGTAACCACAGCTCTATCATGTTACAGTTTACATTCATCACCACTTTGACATTAAGTCGCTCTGAGACACACAATTAGACTATGTCACCTGTGTAACCAAGCAGCACATGTATGGACATATCATAAATTTATTTCTTAATATTTTGATATCTCCCTTTAATTTATCGATAATTGTATGCATTTTATTTTATACATTTAAAGCAGCGTTCTCAAAGAGATCTGTGGGCTTCACCAGATTATGAAAGGGACTGTGGCAACAAACGACTAAAAACCTCAGAAATGCATGAACTTTCAGAGTATTCAATACAGCAAAGAAATTTCATGTGACTACAATATATGTTTAGGAGAAGTAACATGTTGCCTATTCTTGTTTTTAACCCATTCTATAAATTCTCCATCACCAGCAGCCTCCTATAAGTGCTCTCTGTAAAGTCAGCAGAAAGGACTTGAGCTGGAGTCCACAATCTAGAAGACTGATGGTGCCTAACTCACCCTTGTCCACTCCAACTAGGTCACTAACCGACAGCAAGTTATTAAGAACCTGCAGCATAAGACAGCTATAAAGAATGGTCAGAATACTTACAATGCCATGTAAGTATTCACTGCAAGGTGCCGGACACTGCTTTAATGACTTCACACATTAATTCACTTAATCCTCACAACAACTTTACAAAGCAGCTGATAGTAGTATTCCCAAGAGGAGAAAAACCAAGGTTCAGAGGTTAGGTGATCTTGTCAAATATTACACAGCCACTAAATGATGAAGCCAGATTCAATCTCAGCAAGGTTAAGCCCAGAAGCCATGACCTCTTCCTCTTGCCCTTAATAACCAGGAAGAGACCCCTATAAAGAACCACCTTTCATTCTTCCTTGAGTAGTACATTGAGATGGAGAGTATTAGATTTTATTTATTTTTTTTTTTTTTTTTTTAATTTTCTAGAGGCATGTCTTATTTATTTATTTATTTATTATTTGTTTGTTTGTTTTTGGTTTATACATGCACTGGGTACAGTCAGAAGCGCGGGAGGGTGAGAGAATTCACCAGAGCCAGAGCGGGGAGCAGAGCAGGCAGAAGGACCGAAGTACACTGCTGAGGGGAGCAGCGGGCGGCAGGAGAGGTCTGCGCGCCATGTGGGACCCTCCTCCGGTGGCCGGGGAGCAGCCTGGGATCGAACCGGCTGCAGAGGCTGCAGGCAGCTTCGCAACCCAGCGCTCAACCGCTGCGCCACCGGGGAGGCCCGAGTATTAGATTTTATTAATACTCCTCATGATGAAATTAAGCTTCAGAAGAGATTTAATAAAAATGCACTTTTTGATCAAGAGGTAAACCCAACAATATTTCCACAAAACTAAAGTCAAGTACAGTCTACTCATAAATGCCATAGTGATGGAAAAAATATTCCATTATCATAGGAGACACAAACTGCCATCTCCAGGAGCATATCTGAAATGTTGAAATGAATCCATGGAAATAGATATTGGAGAATTTATATATAGGACTCTGGCTTCCCTTACTAATGGAATCCTGCTTGAAAATCATGGGCTCTGGTTTCACCTCTGCTGACCTATGTCATAGGTCACAGTGAGAAAAGTCACTAAAATTTACTGTTGCCTCAGTGTCTGCAACTTTTGCATTCCAATGTCAAGGGTTGGTTTTGATGATACAATGAAAATCGGTAATGCAATAAAGCACTTTGAAATAAAATCACTGTGTTGTTAGAAACCAGTTATTGTTTATGAACCTATTTAATAAGCTCTCTATCGATTATAAGATCCAGCATTCCAGATACCTAATTCTGAACATTATCTTAGATTTTCATCTTTTTCACAGAGCATGTCAATCGCACAATAAAATTCTCCTGTGGTGACCTTCAGGACCACATTTGTTTCACTTGAGCAAAATCAAGTTCATTGCTATTCTCAGGCTATAATGAAAATTAAGGCTATTTCTGTTTCCTTCACATGCCCCATAATTACACAATTAGAATTAGGAATTCTATTATCGGAATGTTAGTTGTAGTAATGTTCAGCATACCATGCAAATTTGGCTGAAGTACACTTAATTTGACTGCTAAAATGCATGATCTCCCAAAGGTAGGATTTGCATTATAAAAATCATTAAAATAAAATTTCTATAAAAACTTGAAACTAAAACCCTTTGCTGGACTGTCAAACAGAGTGTACTACTCACATTTCCTTTGACCACGTAATTAGAATCATTCTTGATGTCTCTGGCTAGACCAAAATCACAAATTTTTGTGATTCGCCCATGAGTAAGGAGGATGTTTCTGGCAGCCAAGTCTCTGTGAATACACTTTTAGGGAAGAGGGGGAGGGGAAGAAAAGAAAATCATTTACATTTATTTTATATATTCTAAAGAGCGGAAGCTATGTTTAGCACTAGAGTGCTGCTTATGTTATAAAAATCCAAAACTTCTTCTTTACATTTAAACTATTTGGTGCACTAAAAATAAATATTTAAATTATGCCTTGAATGATATTCAAAATTTGTGTTTCATATATCCTTAGGACTTTAATTACTATAATCACTTTCAAAACCAACTTGAGTAAATGCTTTTTTCTCTTCTCAGGACTTCTTTCCTTTATAGGGAAATACATTATAACAGTTGTATCATATTTTTTAAACTGAAGCTTATTTTGCATGCTTCTCTTTGAAAGTTCTTTTATTACGTTTCCAAAATGTCTTTGCAACTTCAACTTGACATCTCCCAAAGACAGAGGGAAGAAGCTCTTTATTTCAGACACGCTCTATCCTCCTTAAGTTTGTAATTATTTGGAAATGTCACCAATGACACTTAAGGATAGGATCTGTAACTCATTCTAGTATCTTTTTCTAAGATTTATTTATTTATGCACAGAAGAACTGGGTGTAGCCTGGAGGAACAGGGAGGGGTGTGTGTGTGTGAGAGAGGATTCACCAGAGACAGAGTGGGGAGCAGAACAAGCAGAACTAATGAAATACACTGCTAAGGGAAGCAGCCGGAGAGATAGGAGAGGTCTGCTGTGCCATATGTGTGTTAGCTCCCTGGTCAGGGTTCAAATTCAGGCCTCGGTGGTGATAGCTCTGAGACTTAACCCCGAGGCCATGAGGGATAGCCCCCCTCATTCTATTCTATAGTCCCTTTTCCTAGGGAATTCCTCTCACCTTCCAGAGACCATGCTCCTTGTTTTGGTAACATGATTCTCTTTCCATCTCCATCTTTCTCCAAAATGTTTACTATCCTTGTTGATGCCTTATTCTCCCAAACTTCATAAATCATACATACAGTATTTGGGGTCTAACTTCAATGAGACCCAAGCATATGCTTCACCAAGCATTGCAACTACTTGAGCTCTCTCCTCCTTTTGCTGATAGATAGAATTATTCTCTATTTTTTAAAGAGAAGCTCCTATATCCTAAAAAGCTAAATGTTTGAAATGAATTCATGGCCTATAAAAAAAAATTCATAGAAAGCTCATTTAGACAGGCTTACACTTTAAAGAAGTTTATAAATGAGAATAGAAATTCCAAAGAGACAGCAGTTGGAACATGAAGAAACTAAATTCCCTTTGCTTTTGGTTACCATACTTCAAAATGATACCCTGCATTCTAACCATGGCTCTAAAATGCTCCATTTTTATTTTTTTTAAAGAAACAGTCTTTATAGAAAATCACCCCCACTTACATTCTTTGAGGCGAGGAATGCCATGCCTTTTGCCACCTGGTAAGAAAAACTCAGCAAGTCTTCCAGGTCCAGGGCCAACTCATCATCTTCCATGATGGCAGGAGTCACATCTCTTTCTACATATGAGCCTGGAAGAAGGAGGATTTTCTTAGCAATTAAAAACTTAAAGGCGAGGAAAAGAAAAAAACAACAACAAAAAAACAACGACAACAACAATAATACCAAAGACTAGCAATGAATGAGTTGTTGTGAACTGGAAGGCAAATCACTTCCCCAAAATTGAGGACAGATAGGTGTTGAATCTCAATATTCAAAATCTTGGATTAGGGTACAAAATCTTTAGGAGAGAAGGTGGATCAAGACAAAAAAAATCTCAGGCCTCTCTGGTGGCGCAGTCTGCAGCCTCTTCAGCGTGGGTTTGATTCCCAGCCAGCCAGAGAGATACCCACATGGCATGGCAGACCTCTCCTATCGTGCCCACAGAGCCTCTCAGCAGTGCTTTTGGTCCATCTGCCTGTTCTGCTCCCCGCTCTGTCTCTGGTGAATCCTTTCACCCTCCCACGCCTCTGTTCTGTACCCCAGCTCTTGTATAAAAATAAATCTTTTTAAAAAATCTCATTTTTTTAAATGTAAGGTATATATTTGATATGCATATATTTTCATATTTGCAGTAAGATGTTTGGATTCAGCCACACATATTCTGGCCTCAAATAATCATTTGCACCCTTTAATTGCCACTGGCACTGGCCCCTACTAAAAGGATAAGGAGTTACTCCAGAGATGGTGTCATATTCCACAGAAGTATGAGATATCCTCTGTAAAGGAAGTTTTTTATTGCTTGCCAGATACCCACCTACTCTTGCAGATCTTCTTTGGTCTGCCTTGGTTGGTACAACATAAGAAACTCCGGGTTTCATGTCCATGTATTCATTAGTACTGTCACTGCTGGGAGAGGTGAAACCATGATTGAACAAAATGGGATATGGGGGGAGAAATAGGTGCAGGCTCTAGCTACCCACTCCCAATAGGCTGATTTTATCTGAAAAAAATTGCTGCCAACTATGGATGAGAAAATCTTGTTCAATATGCTTTGAGTTTTTAATATTCAACATTAGAATTCAATCCCTGGGAATTAGATGGCCTTTTTTTGTGTGTTTAGTCAGAGATGGGAGTCAGGTTAAATTTTATCATCTTTTGACACCAGGGATTTAATGGGAAATCAGAGAGGCAAAAACATTATCCCATGTTACTTCAAACCCTCTAAATTAGCCCCAAGAGACAAGATGAAAGAGACAAGGAAGACTCAAAGAACAAGATCTTCGTAGAGGTGCTATGGGGGAAGGCAGAGATCTTTAACATATAGTGACTGATGGAAGAAAGATTAAAAAAAAAATCAAGTTTGGTTCAGATAAACACCAATAATTTGGATGATTTTCTGAACCATCTGGACCTCTTGAATCTGCAACATTTGGCTGGAGTGTCTTCAAGATTTCTAGTACTTCCTGCTTCTGATTAGCATAGAAACACCATGACAACAATCTCCTTCAGAGTATGCTGGTGGTTCCAATCCCATATGGGATCCCAAAGCACAAAGCATACCACACAGGATTGAACAACTCAGGCCATTCTTTCAGAAAATTAAAACTATATATGGGGCCAAGATTTCGGAGGGGGAGAAAACAACAACAAAATGACGCATTTATTTATATAAAGAGCATATGAGCTGGAGAAACTAATGAAAGGTGGTGGTTTATACTGTATTTTACTACCACTAGACACTACTCAAATTCATAAGATTAAAACATAAATTAAGAAGTTTCACCTGAGGTTTAAAACTTTAGCTAGAGCTACAGAAAAGGACTTTAAGATATAATTTCCCATCAATAATATTTAGTGAGTTTTCCTGGAGGGCCTGGAGCTAAGTTTGGGAGGCACAGTCTTGCCAAAGAATAAACAGAGGAGAAATCCACCACACAGTTGTAGAAGTATAAAGTATAAAGAATTGGGCCTGATGAGTATGCTTTCTGTTGGGTTGGATGAATCTAGAAAATCTTAAGTGGTAGATCCGAGCAACATCAGGAAAGAACAGGTAAGCATGGCAGAGGAAAAAAAAATCTATTGTGGTTGTAAACTTGACTAATACATTTTAAAGGAACGTGAAGCTCTTTAAGCATCATTGAAATTCAGAATATCAGTGATCAAAGAGATAAAAAGTCACCGATATTTTTTTAATGTACTAGAGAGTAATTGTGACTTTTTATAACATGATGAGTTATCTGAAAAAAGGCAAGGAAGAGAAATAATTCAGAGGTAGATCGTGAGAAACCTATGTGCAGAGAAATGTTCAGAGCTCTTTGCCACTCTGTTCAAGGTTTTAAAGGAATTTCCAGTGACAGCTTGACAGGATTTCCTATTTTCTCTAATAAACAGTGTCTCACTGTAAAGATGCATATAGTACTGAGCTCAACAGTGTAAGTGCAATAACATGCAAGAACAGAGGCATGACAAAAGAAACACGTACGGAATTTGTTCAACTGAATAGAACTAAAGCCCAGAAAAATACTCAAGGTGGAATTAGAAAAAAACATCAAAAATCTTAAGTTTAATTGAATCCTTAAAAAACACTATTTGAATCTAGAAACTGTTAATCACATTTAAATGATTTAATAATTCTGATTTTGTACCTCAGTGTACCCTGGTTCATTTTTTAAAGAATCAGCCTTGATTACAACCCCTTATGACCCCATGAACTGCCTGTCAACAGCTGACTATTTATGTAAATCAGTCTTACCACGAAGACTCCTTTGAATGCAGAAGGTTCTTATAAAGTGCTGCTTCTGTGTGATCTTCCTGCTTTGAGCAAATAAATGAATCACGTTTTCTTCTCAAAAAATTCAAAAGATCACCATAGCAACAATATTCTGTAATGACCAGGGTGGGCCCTACAAGCATATAAGAAAAGGTGAGAAAGAGGTGAGCTCCATAGATAATCCTGCCTCCTGGCAAATCCCTAAGGGTGAGCGTGGCCATTAACATTCAGGATAGAAGCCCACTTAGGACCAATGCAATTCTATTAACATGGCTCAGCAAAAAGCAGCTCAGTGCAGGACAACCAAACAAGCTGGCTCCCTTTACTTGCATTTCTAAGTGGTATTAATATTGGGGCCAGGCATGACTGCTGGTTTTACAGGAGAGTTGATGATTTCAATGCTATACTAACATGAAGCTTCACGAAGAGCTTTGATTTACTTCTGTTTACAGCGTGGTTTCACACCCTCTTCATAAGGTATTATGGAAATGGTGTAGAGCACAAATCGAGACATGATAGAAGCACCAACCACACGGAACAGCCAGCTGAGACAGGACTGGAAAGGGGTGAAAACCCGAAATCACAGGGCATAACCTGCACTCTGAGCACAACCAGTTGAAAATTTCGTTGGTGTTATAACAAGCAACTGAAGTCAGAACCTGGACAGAAATTGCTCATGAACCATTCATGACATGGTGAAGCAACATTTAGGAGGGTGATTTTACAAAACTACATAAAGCTGTCCTCTGGCTTTCGATCTCTCTGAAATGTCGAGGAACAGATCATTTGATAACCTCTTCATCCCTCTGGATAAAAATGCTTTCTGGAAACAGCATGAAGTCCATGATGGGAGGAGTGACTAATGTTTCAGATCTGCAAGTGTACATTTTAAGCAAGAGAAGAGTTTGCCTCATTTGTTGAATATTTGAGGACTGGTAGGCTTAGAAGCCTGTTTTTGATTATAGTATGAAGATGAAGAGTGACCCATCAGTGACTAAATATGATCCAGCAAAACTAGAAAAGGGTAACTTTGTGGACAAGAGAAGATATTCCTGAGATATTCAAGAGGTCAACACTGTCAAAGAGACATGTCCTGTAAGTAACTAGCCTATGTTCTGGAGGTCCCACCTCATGATGCTAAAACCACATATATATTCGTAAGAACAGCAGTTTTGTTTTGTTGTGGGGGGAGGTACTAGCAAGAGGTAACAATAAAAATCTTGCAAGGGATAAACAAGAGAGTTGATGATTTCAATGCTATACTAACATGAAGCTTCACGAGGAGCCTTTGATTTACTTTACCCCTCCTGGGTAAAAATCTTGCAAGGCATTTATAATGAAGCATTGTCAAAGTTATATTAAAATGTCCCCCCCTTTGATAATCTGACAGATAATAAAAGGCAATGGGGTTGTGTCCTTACCTCCGACGGTGCATGCGCCCAGAAGATTCACGATATTCATATGGTTCCCAAGGTAACTCAAGACTTTGAGTTCAGACATGAGGGCTTCCCGTTCCGTTAAATGGGCACTTGCTAAAATCAGAAACATCATTTTAGAACAATGCAAGTCTGGCAAGCTGATGTGAGCGCATGGGGGCTGCAGAAACTTACGCTTGAGCATCTTCACGGCGACAGTCATGGCAGCATCTGACTTTATGAGGCCATAAGCAGTGGCTTCAACAACTTTTCCAAAGGCGCCAGCACCCAAGGTTTTCCCTGCAGAGAGGAAGACCACAATCAGCGAAATGGTGGTGGTGGGACCAAAGGTCCATTTGTGTAATTGCAAAAGTCAACAAAGGAATTAAAGACAAATGCCTAGATACATTTCCCTTAAGTCTTTCTATCGAATGCCAAAAAATAACTTAAATGCCAAATCTATCAATGATGGTGAGATTTCACAGAAAACACTTATTTTTTCAGGTGGAAAAAAAAAAAAAAACAGAGGAAGCTTTTAGGGTTGCCAAAGCCATTATTATGCATAGACAAAAAGGTTATACGGAAAGCCCCTGTTTCATACTGACCAAAACTCAGTCTGTTTCTGGGAAACTCCCATTTGTGATCATAAGGAAGCTGCATTGGGTCTATGTAAACATAGTTGTTTCCATTTATCTCCTCAACAACCTTCCACTGTACTTCATACATGGGTTTCTGGGGAGGGGAGGAAGATAGATCACCTTTTAATGATTAATGTTTCAGTCACTACAGCACTCGAGGCAGAAAACAAATAAATGGTTTACCTGTAAATATTTGTAGGTAAGAATCATCACTATGATGCACATCATACCAGCTGCAATCACAAAACCAATCAGCAAAGGTGTGAACAGGGTGTGGGGCTGGAGTTGTTCTAAAATGAAAGAGGAACGTAGAAGCACATTATTGCCAGGGTTGGCTCTTCACCACACTCACCCAAGTCCAGGTCCACCCACCTCCCATCTTGCAGCCCACGGCAGGATTCAAAGTCATGTAAGTGGCATTTCAGCTCCTTTATTACCTTACTTTTGCCATTCAAAGGAATCTTTTAAAATAACAACTTTTAGTCAGATTAGTATGGAAGTGAAGTTGAGATTTCGATAGTATCAGAATAACTTTATTCTGTGTGTCAATGAGGAGAAGCATGTAAATGACGTTTGCCCTTTCATCAAATTCCTGCCTTAGATACCCCTAAGAAGTTTCCTTCATGTGTATTTGTATATTCTTCTTTATACTTTCCTGTATTTTCTAAAGGTTCTACTGTGAGCATGAAAGCATTTTTTTAAGGCATTCTTTTCATTGCCCTGTCTGAAAAAGCGCCTCTGATGATGAACAATGTAAGATTCTTCCTCTCATTACTCACAAACTGAAAATACACCACTTTTTGGCACTGGTCTTTGCCAATTCAAAAAAACAAAAACTGAGTTCTATGAATGTAGGTGCCTGGTTTCTTTGTCTTCCAACTTCATAGTAATTCATCAATTCATACACAAGGTTCACTGAACTTATGTTAGGAGGGCTAGTCACTCAGGAATCGAAATTTAAAGGTGCTAAAGAAATAGCTCACTAACATGACTTCACAAAAGACAGTGGTACCTTTCTGACAGTGTCTGCCAATGTGCTAATAGAGTTCTAATAACTAAAATTTTTAATTGAATTTAGATTTTTTAAAATCTTCTTAATTTGGTTTGCATATAAGGTAAGCATATTCCACTGGTGGCTTTCTCTATTCCTTTTTCAGGGAAGTAATTAGAATTACAACATACAAACACACAAAATAAATACAGCACATGGTTAAAATTACTGCGTAAAGTTTATTCACAAACTGGTACAGAATGATACTTAGTGGATTTGAGGACAGTACGATGCAATGCAGGTATTACCAGAAATGGCATGGCCAGTGATGGAATGGGCTTAAAGTCATGATTGATATGGTAGGCAGAGACTAAACATCCCCTTAAATTGGATTAAAAAGAAATATACCTTTGTTGTTACCTTTAAATGCAAAGTTAAAAAAGGCGGAACTCTCGCCCACATCATTGTGAGCCCTACATTCGACTGTGCCATTGTGCTTGAAGGCACTATCACTGATGGAACTTTGAACCACTAGCTTTCCAAATTGTGACACTGACGAGTTTTGTATATGCACATCCACTTGCCCAACAGGAACAGAACATCTAGGGGGAAGAAAACAACAACCCAGACTTACTTGAGGAAAATAAACAAATGAAATACCTTGGATTTAACATCCCTTAAACAGTAAGTCAGAGTTTCATAATCAGAAATATCCTTTTACAACTGAGAGTCTGGCGAGGAATGAAAATTTCTATGGCAGAGTGAGGCTGAAAAGCATGATGGAAGAGAAGACATATGGAAAGGTGGTTTTGGAGTGAGATGTGGGTTTGAATCCCAACTCAAACTCCTGTTCTATTGGTTTCTGACAAGTCGAAGTCTGCAGGACTTGAGTCTTACAGCTGTGAAATTGGAACGGAATACTCGTCTGGCAATACTTATCTTGGAGGATTATTGAAAGGATTAGAACTGAATTAAATAAGATGGCTGGCACATATCCCGACAATGAGTAGACCCTTGTAAATAAACCAATTATAAAAGGCTGTATAAAGGGCTGAAAAGGAAGAGCGTATAAGAGGAAAGCATTAAAGCCTACAAGGATGGGGACAGGCAATTGTCAGAACCCTAGAAGTAGTGAGTCCCTGTGGCTTCAGGTTCTGTGGAAGGATATACAGGTTGCAACACATGGTTGTACCAACCGGTGGCAAATAGTCAGGCCCAGTGACTATTTCAAATGCTCCCTTCTCCTTCACCTCATGCCTAGTGGTTTCCTAGGCACTGCTTTATTTTTTTCTCCTTAGTGCTAACACCTGCCTAAAGTGGTTGGTTGGTTTGTGCTCTGTCCCCACCCATCAGAGCAGGAACTCTCCACATGAGGACTGGGGGTGCTCTGCTCGCTAGACCAGTGTCAGTGTACACTGGTGGCTCTGTAAATATTTGCTGAATGAATAGCTGTAACTACTGGGGTTGCTTCCACTATGCATACACTTTCGAGGGGTCTTGAACCCTTCCTATTATTCCCCAAAGAAAACATTCCAAAATTGAGCTGAAAACTGCAATCCCATGTGACCTCTTCCAACTTGTTGTGATAAAAAGGTCTATTCTGTGAAAAATAAAATTTCTATTATTATCCTGACTATTCAATTGTGATGTACACTGGGCTTTTAAAGCCAGAGCATAAAATAGCATTTGATGGATAACAATAGCGACGCTGACCCCATTTTCATCTTCAGGTAATGCAGAAGGACAATTTAAGGCTTAAGTGAGGATTGTGAGGGAGAGGAAGCGAGGTGCCAGATGTGTTCCTTTCAGGGGTTGGGCACTAATCAGCAAGCAAACCTTTTTAAAACATGCAGCTTACAAGCACCATATGTATGTTGTAATTGCATGATCATTACTTTTTGGTAACTTGGCAATTAACTTCTGAGGTAATTTTTTCATGGTAACTACTGCCACATTTCCCACACACATTACCTCCTGTGTATAGAATAGAAATCTAATTATTCTGTCCTGGAAAATTGCTTTATCTACCTGCAGGCTAGAAATTGCCATGACAAATCCTAAAAGATAACCACCAAAATAGAGAAGTCATTCAGTGATCATTTTTCAGCAAACAAAATTAATGTCTACCACAGAAAAGGTAGCAATTATGTCCTCTAAAAAATGACGTGGATAGAAAAAATATTAACCAAAACAAAGCTTTTTTAAAAGAAATCTGAAAACACAGTTGACATGCAACTGAATTGCAGTCCTCCCCTGTTGCATTTTGAGTAGCACACAAAATAATGGTCTCACCTCTGCTCAGTTCCTGGACAAAAATACCAATCTATTGTGGGCTCAGGGAATCCTTCTGCCACACACTGGAGCATGCCATTCACGAGCCTGTCACGAGTCAGAATTACTGGTTTTGCTGCAGGAGAAAAGAAGAGGCCATATGTCAGACTGCTGAGCAACCTCACCATGATCCACTCCTCTTCAAACCCTTAGAACTTTCCTGAGGTTGACGAGGACCCTGAGGGAACATGTTCAAAGTGGAGAATCTGAACCCAGGGATGAAGGGAAGATTAAAGGCACATGTGAAGGTCAAAGGCTTCGGTAGTTAGACCTGCCAGACCCCACATGGACCATGTGCCTGGCAGAAGTAGGGTCTCTGAGACCTCCCTCCAGGGATGGCCGAGGTGGAGCTTCCACCTGGTGAGTCTTCTGTTCCCAGGGAGCAGGGATCTGTAAAGGCTGTTTGCAATCAAGACTTTAGGAGACCAAACTGTTTAAGGATTTCTGACCCAGGATTTCATATTACCAGAACTTCCTTAGGAATTTCAAGTTATTGTGAAGACTGAAATATATAAAAGTAGGAGTTACAGAAAAAGAGAACTCTTACTCTCAGGAATTTTCTCTTTTTTTTGAGGGGGGTGGGGTAGGACAAAGAAGTGATGCAGATAAAAGGCTGAATCATCCAATTTACAGAGAAGCCAAAACATAAGAGTAAAATACAACAAAGGATTTAACTCCAAATTTGTATTTCAAATGTAAAATATGAACAGAAAATTAGAAGGGAAAACCAGCCCAAGAGGTTTATGCATATATGTGTGTGTGTATATACATATACATACATACATACACACACACACACATACATAAACCCGAGTATAATCACTGAAAAATTAATTGTATTATCAGGAATTGCTCTAAATTATCATTTCTGTGTAACTACAACAGTCAACTAATATTCAATCAGGGGTGACCCAAAGCATTGCAAATTCTTGAGATTGTCTCTAAGTCAAAGGAAGATGAGTTTCTGAGTTCAGGTGCAATTGGTAACATATTTGAAGGAGTCTAGCCCTTTGAGAATGAAGAAGGCGAGCTGCTGATGACTGGGATGGTGAGGTGCTCGCCCTGTGTTGCTGGTACAGTATGGAGAGTGCCAAGCCTGAGCACAGACCACAGGAGGCCCTAAATGGGAATGCTCCAACAGTCATGGGCTCTCTGCCCTCCACATGAAGCCTCCTCGTGTAAAATGGGATAGTAACAGTACTCATTTCATTACAGTGTTGTGACAAAGAAATGAGATGGAGCACACAAAGAACCAAGAAAACCCATAGAAACAAAGCAGTAAACTTATTAATGACTCAGTTTTTCTTTTGTAATCAGAATACCCATGCTCCTTGGTTAATCCAATTTGTTAGTAGATTAAAGTTCATTATATCTGCTGTTCTAAATATGCTCTTTGATGATCTAAAAATTGCTCCTTAAGATAATGTGTGTTAACCCGATGCATCAGGAATTTGACATTAATTATGTTGCCATTGATAGGAAAAACATATGTGGTGAGAAGGAAAGACTGACAGATCGGAGGCTTGGGAAGCTTATTTCCTCGAAGGAAGGTAACAGTGATAAATGACATCTTTGTGGAACAATCCCCCAGCACCTCATCTCCTTGCAGACAAAAAGGCCTAGCAGGGATCAGTGTCCGCATGCATGGCACACCCACCTGTCACTCAACCTGGCCCTGCTGATGGACAGTCTATTTGGCTAATACACACAAAAGAGTGACACTCTAAAGCAATCTCAAGGTAGGGGCATCCTTGAGAGTTTGGATCTAATGCCAGCTTTTACAAATAGAGCAAGAAGACGAGCCATCATCTTGCAAAGGCATCCATCTGGCAAGTTTCATTTAATTATCATGGGCAACTGTGTAATCAGGCTGAAAAGTAGGGCATAACACAAAAAACAGTGGAACTTCAGGAGAATGAGATTTGCAGGAGACCACAGGCACCAGAAGGGGGGTCTCTCTGGACTCAATCCAAGTGTCACCTCTTTTTCCAACTATCCTCAGTTCTGCAAAGCCAAGGTCTCTTTCCTCACTATTCCTGCAACACTTAAAGAGTACCTGATATTCTATGCCACATCCTGGTCTGCTTCCACCATCAGACTGTGTTTTCTCAAGGCAGGAGGCTCATCCCACTGAGTGACCTGAGTCCTAGCAGACACACAGTAAAAGCTGCTGAATCATGAAGTCCCCCAAAGGAACAAAAGATGTCGATTCCATAGCAATTCAGCCAGTCTCCAGAAAAGACCAAAGAGAACAGAAAATGCTGACTTTGTGTGCAGGGTGTGATTTCCAGTAGTTCTGCCATAGCGGACCTTGAGATAAGACATCCACACATACACCTGGCCATGCGAATTCTTCTTTTTTCATACTGAGATTAATGAGGAGGTGGAGGGTTTGTGTACATTGATGGCAAGGTTAACCGCATAGGACTCAAAGGAATCAAGGCCACAAGACAGACCTCTTCCCATCAAAATTCCTTTTGTCATTTGTCCTTCCGAATGTCACATGATGGATATTGAGTGGACTTTCCATAGGAAAAAAGGGGGGTGGGGACTGAAAGGATACCTTAAGAGGTTAACAATGGTTATTTCTACGTAGTAGGGTTATGGATAGTTTCTATTTTATTCTCTTATTTTGGTTCTCAATTTTTTAACAATGAACCTGTTAGCTAATAATGAATCTAATAAAACATTTTTTAATTATAAAAATTGGAACTGCTCAAAATTACATAATCAGTTATACTCAGCTTTGGTTATAAGTGCTCTAGGATCCAAGCCTTCCAGCCTGACACCTGGGCGCAGTTATACAATGGCCAGGGCTGGCAAGTGGAGCAGTCTGTCTGGCCTACTTGTTCCTGTGTGCCCGTTAATTAGGCAGATTTTTAAAGCTACTATCCTAGGCGGGTGGTAACCTCAGGGTAGCTGAGTAGCTTTCGTCCTCTTGGGCCTTAGAGATTGGCCAACCAAGCTCAGAGAGTTCTCAAACTCCAATGTACATTCAAAGCACTGACAGGAAGTTAAAATGCAGATTCCTGGGTCTCACCCCAAGGGGCTCAGTAAATTGAGGATCTGACCTAGCATGTGCTTTTCAAGCATAACTTTAAGGAACACTTTAAGGTCAAAGGTGAGGCAAGGAAAGCACCTACGTCATGAAATTTAAGAAGGTACCCATCCCTCAGGGTCTTGCAAATACAGGCTGGCACCAAGAGCAAGCACCTCTGTCAATGCTGTGCCCCAGGCACCTGTCTTGCCTCATCCTAAACCCAGCCCTATCCCTAATGATGTAATGAGAGACATTTTGAAAAGGCAAAGTGCCATGAGTACAGTTTGGGCTGTACATGGCAAGTTGTGCTTTGGAAATGTTTAATGCATAAAGAATGAGCTAGGTATAAATCTGATTCCTAAAAATGAAAATCTGGGCTCATCTGCATTTTGTAAGTGCCTCAATGCACGGTGTAGGCATTAAATATACATTTTGCTTTAAAGATACACAACTCTCTGCCATTCTCCAGGCTAAATCTGAGCTGTGGTTTCTCAGATATTCCACAGTCAACAGTATACTAGTGACACATTCCCTAATTCCTCCCAAGTTGGAGGTTTAGATAAGCCAAAGAGATGTATAAGTTATGTATTTCCTGGAGAGATTAAAAAACAGCCCTTTCCTTTTCAAAGTATCATGGACCTGAGCAACAACACTAATCAGCTTTTAGGCAGATATCAGAATGTTTGTAACTGCTGAGCATCTATTACCACTCACTCACTGATTTACCCCACAGATAAGCAATCTTAAAAAATATTCCTTTTCACCACCATCAGGTCCATATGGGAGAAAAGAACAAAATGAATTTTTAAGAGCACAGTACAGATAACAAGAGCTGGGGTGGGGGTGGAAGCAGATACACAAGTAACTGGTAGGGCAGCATATTCGAATACAGCTCTGCTCTACCAGCTCCTGCTACAACTACACATTTGCCCACACTCTATAGTCAGCAAAGAGCACAGACTTAAGTCTTCACAGAGTAAAAGATGAAATGAAGAGGGAGCATAAGGATGAGTTTATTTTTATGATTGTAGGTCTGCTGCTGTTTAATGGCGAGACAGGGATGCTTCGCAGCAATTTGTCACCATGCTGGGTTTGGGCCGGTAAATCTACATTCCCACCATAATATCCTAATGATAAAGGATAATGATAAAGGAACTTCAGTCAGTGCAAACAGGAGTATAAAAATAACTCAAGATAACTCTTGCTCATAAAATGAATATTACTGGAATACATAATCTGAAAATATATTTTGCATTCTTAAAGATAGAAACTGATGGCAGGCAGCTGGATATAAGCTTGTTTAACAAATGAAATCTAACTCCAACTACAGTCTCCTATGCCCAGATTATCTTTAACAGAGTGTCTATGACAGAAAAAGAAAATTCTCCTAATGAAGTAATGTCCTAAACTAGGGGCAAGCAAATGTTTACTGCAAAGGGTGAGATAGTAAATATTTGCAAGAGACATCAGGTCTCTTGCAAATACTCAGTTTTGCCATTATACCAGAAATGTAGCTACAGATATGTAAACAAATGTCTGTTCTGCTAAAACTTTAGTAATGGACACTGAAATTCAGTTTGCCAATTCCTATTCTAAACAGCCATCAAAAATATCACCCAACCCTGAGATTAAGTTTAAAACACTGATGAAACCATTTGGAGAGAGCCTCCCTCCACCAAATCATGGAGCTCAGTTGACACACACACCGCTGCTGTGTGACCCAGACGCAGGGAGGGAGAGGGAGGCTGTGCTCACACGCCATGGTGTGGCTCTGCTGGCTGCCCAGGGAGCAGCATGTGAGAAAATGCTATTTTTCTACTCTGTAAAAGGAGTGAATTCATTTTGTCACATAATTCAGAAGTGGAGGAGAAGGGTTATTGACACAAAGCCCAGTGAAAAATTATGTACCTATTCTTGGATTAATTTAAATTTCCACTAAATTACAGATGACCCTGTATACATCTGTAAATGAAGGGGGTTAATTTGATGTAAAAACACAGGTGGCTCAACTGGAAAGGAAATTTCCACAGAGAAGT